ATTCGAAGAATGAGCATGATATCTCGTCGCAGATTTCATGGTTCCTATTTGTCTTTATTTAGAGGCCCATTGGGCACTACTGGCTATACATTCTTCAATTCTGGCATACAGCTTCTATCAATTTCTTATGGACGTGCACGATAAAATGTCGATTCTAGACAAGCATGAGATACAGCGTTCAATTCTACACAGAATGACACCAAATTCGAGGGATTATCCGCCATCACTTGATCGCATTTTTTGTGGAACAGAAGGAGTGTCAAGCCGACGTTGCATTTTAATGCAGTGGGTGCGTCCAGGGCGGCGTGCGATGTGTGCAGATTTATTGCTTTTGCCAACAAGCAAGGCAATAGTAAATTCAATCTAGAATCACATATGGTACCAAATCTAACGGGCTATTCAATACTACCAATTATTTGAAGAATTAAAATAACATCTTGTCGCAGATTTCAATTTCCTTACTCGTTAATATTTCCCAGGTTACCTATTCGGCATTGCTGGCCTGACAACAATAATCTTCGAGTTCGCACCAAGTTTTCAAATCGATGCGGAAAATGAAATGTCGATTCTAGATGGTTGTGCAATGAAACATTCAATTCTACGCAGTATGGCACTGTTGAAAAGGATAAATCGGCTATCACTTCACCGCACTATTTGTGGAACAAAAGGATGTTATATAGTTTTGCGAGGGGAGTGGGGCCCCGCCACGAACGATGTATGCCGTTCGATTGTTTGCTGCTAATAAACAAGGGAAAAGTACCCTGGTTCTTCATATAGAATCACTTCCTAGAATATATTCTACGGGGTATCAAATGATATTAGTTCGAAGAACAAAAATGGTATACCTATCGTTGAAAATTTTATTTTCCCTACATACCTACCTATCGGAATTCGAACGCTCATAGAGAAATACTTGCCAGACCTGCAAATACAAAGTCTGGCCAACAAAGCACCATGAATCTCCAAATAAAGACAAAAAGAAAATGAAGTCTGCGACCAGATACCATTCTCATTCTTGTAATAATTAGCATCATTGAATAGCTAGCAAAATTTATTCCAGGACACGATTCTACAAACCAATTATTGTTACGTTTGTTGGCAAGAAACATCAGCCGGCATATATTCGCACGCGGGATCCGCCACGCTCCCGTCACGAAAATATGCGACATCGTTTTGTTTCACAAAAGTGCGGAGGAGTTCCATCATATTTTTCCCTTTTTAATAACATTATACTGCGTAGAAATTAGTGCTTTATCGACCAGCTATCTAGAATTGACATTTTATTTTGCGCGTCAATAGGAAAACTTGATACTAAAACTCAAAGTTTATTGTTGTCAGGCCCAGCAATGCCGAATGAGCCGCGAGGCGCGAACTATGAACAAGAAAGTTGAAAGGCTGCAACAAAACAGCGTTATTGTTCTTCGAATAATAAATAGCATTAGATAGTTCATGAAATTTAGTATCATGCATGATTCTTGATTCAATTTATCGTTCCCTTTCTTCTTGGCAAAAGCAACAAATCTGCACACAGTACACGCCGCTCTGATAGGCTCCCATATTGCGTTAACCCGCGCCCCGTAGGGGGGGGGCCGAAACGGCCCCCCCCTGTCCTTTTCGGTCGATATCTCCTAAACCGCTTCAGATATCGCCACCAAACTTTCAGGACCCCTCCGGGCATCAATTTTACACATTGTGACCAAAAATTTTTCCAGAGGCTATGATAGGTTGGCCACAAATGACGTCAGAATGACGTCATGTTCTGTCATTTTCGACCGAAAAAAGACCTTCGCGAGAAGACCTGTCAGGCCTACAGCTTTGAAGATACAGAAAAATGATCAAGACATAAAAGGTGTAGAATTGACAGGGCTACGAAACTGCTATCTCGGATTTTTGAAATTTTTGAGTTTTAACCCCCAAAAATCAAAAAAGCATTTTTTTGGATATATTAGCCAAAAAATCCAAAAAGTTTTTTGAGTTTCGAAAAAACCGGAATATATGTGATAGTACCTACCGTCTTCTATCTACATACCAAATTTCAGATCGATACCTCGTTTTTTGGCCAAGTTATAGCGAAAAAACTGTTCAAAAATGATGACGTCAAATTTTCAAACTCAATTTGTGGCAGTTCTAGACCTTGTAGAGCAAAACAAAGACCACCATTAGACTCCCCGTGACGAGCTGCATCGAATCGATACCCATTTTATGCAAAAATATCAACTTTGAAATTTGACCTTATTTGACCTGACCTTGACCTGACCTTCACCAAAACGTGACCTAGGCTGGCCCCAAAGGCTGCCTAACCCACATAATCGCATTTGTCATGTAAAATGGACCATAAAACATGTATCACACGACACTTTCATATTGTGACCCCGGTGACCTGACCTCGCTGTGACCTGACCTGGTATCAGTGACCTCAGATAGCAAAGTATGTGTTTGACGAACAATGTACCATCGATGGTTTTCAATAAATTACCAATTAACTCGATTTCACAACACATTTCTTGAAATGCCTGTGAACGGTGAAAATCTGACCTTTGACCTGACCTGTGACGTCATCGGTTTGACCTAGGTCAATGAAATTTGGTCACAAGGTAGTTCCCGGGTGGGGCTATCGAACGCCGTTTGAATTTTGAAAATCGGCCGGTAACTTTCCGAGATCTTAGGGGGGGGCCGAAACGGCCCCCCCCCTACGGGTGGTAGGGTCCGCCGGTAGCCCTACGGGGCGCGGGTTAATATGCAATGACGGCCCTTCTGTTCCACAAAACATGCGATGTGACCCTCGCCGCGGCACAGGCCATTTTGAGTCCTTCGACAGCACAGGGGGGGGGGAGGGGGGTTACGACCCTGTACGACCCTGTACTGTGGTACGACCCTGTGCCGGTGAGGGTTAAACTATGTGGGATTATCCCTTATTTTCAGTGTCATTTTGTGCAAAATTGAACGCTTTATCAAAAGCTTGTCAAAAATCGACATTTTATCGTGCATGTCGATAACAAAATTAATAGAAACGTAGCGTAGGTCTGGCTAGCAATGCTCCATGGGACTCCAAATAAAGATATGTAGGGAAAATGAAATTTGCGACGAGGTATCCTCATTCTTCGAATAATCATTATCATTGAATAGCCCGTAAAATCTTTTCCCGGATGTGATTTTAAAACCAATATATTCTTCCGTTGGCTGTTCGCAAAAAATAATCAATCATGGGGTTCATCGTTCACGGCCACGCCCCGCTCTCATCGGGGAAATGTGCAGCATGGCTTTGTTCCACAACTAGTGCCGTGAAGTGATAGCAGATTTCCCTTTTAATAGCGCCATACTGTGAAGAATTGAGCACTTTATCGGACACCTTCTTGATCTAGAATCGGTCGATTGCATTGTGCGTGTCAACATGAAACTTGACATAACTCGAAGTTTATTAATAATTGAATGAGGACTTTACTCCACAAGAAATCGTTCGGGTCGGAGCTTTCGAATTGTATTACAAAGCTTCGTCGGCGTATCGTAATCGGGTTCGGGGGTATCGGTCGCAAAATTGAGGGCGATTCGTCTTTGGCAGACAAGGACATGTCACAGATAGTAAAATAGATAAATAGCACGTGACATTCTATGATAAAACATTTAACATATATGAAAAAGAAGAAAATATCTCATAAGCGATATACATTCTAACTATATCTAAATCTGTTAAATAACAAGGGTTATATAGAGTGATAAATAGTAATAAAGACCTACCTAGGATATATAGCAAGTGATATAAACATGTATGCAACATCAATAGGTAATAGGCTAACAAAGGTACCAGTTATATACAATACACTATAAACGACCAAGAAAATCATTCAATAGGTAAAGAGTAAAAATGATAGCAATGATCAAAAACACTCCATCAATAGGCTAGAACATTCACAACTAATAACATTAATAAAAGGAGGATATAAAGTTCACGAGAAAAGTAGCCATATTGCAGTGGGGGGGGGGGGGGCGTGAAATATATAAACAAGACAAGTCAAAATCGTACAATCTTTTAGCGGCAGGCACTGCGGATAATGGGTAGCCAGCGATCTTGTAGCATAGCACCTGAATTCCTGTTCAAATTGGCATCATTTGGTGACACTAACACAGTCTCCCGTCGTCCTACGGTTCTGATGTAGGCCGACTCCAAGAGGAGTCTCATCTGATGGTGAGCGGCACGGTCGAGGATCTTGGCATCATCAAACAGAGGCGTGCACTGCCGATGGGAGTTGAATGCTGAGGCGTTGGCTCTGGAGCTCCTCGAGCCAGACCATGGTTTCGTAGTCGCAATCGCAAGATTTGGCTGCGTTTCTGGCGCATGCCGTTCATTTGTGGCGCAAAATAATGTAAACAGTGTCATTTCTCTTAGGCACTATGTACCCCCGAATTAGAATCTAATTAATTCTAAACCGAATTAACTCTAATTCAAATTAGAATCCTTACAACCAAGCAACGACAAGGCGATAACATAAACAAAAACCCAAGCGTCGCTGTTTGAAACAAAAGCGCCATATACTGCGACTTTTTTATAGAGAAGGACAACGCATTTCGGTGGGTGTTACAAGTACTGCAAGTACTGCTTCTTTTTTGCAAAAATAAAAACCTTTTTCAGATACGAAAATGTGCTAGGAAATTTTCATATTTTATAGAAACTACAGTAGAAATAGTATAGATGTCGAGTAATTTTTATTTAAGAAAAAAGGAAGCTCATTATCTCCCTTTAAACACGTCTCTACTTGACATTTCAAACACGTAATGCTGCAGTTGTGAATTAATCTATCTTTATGGCATTGGTTGTTGCAACACCGGAGTTTCCATAGTCAACAAATACCTATCGATATCGTTATGGCAAAGAGCCACAGAAAAACACCCTATCTTCACGACTTTGGTGCTCCTGTTTTGCCTCGGGTCGATTGAAGCCGGATACATTTCAGAAGTGCTTTGTTGTGCTACAAGCTGAACGGTCACCAGTTTACTGTTCTTACCTCAGCTCGGTTAAAGCCGGATATTTTGCAGAATGTCTCGTTGCAGTAGACGATCGGGTAGTCCACAATCTGCGCATTGGCCAGTAAAAAGCTGCTGTCCGCTGAAAAAGACAAACGAGTAAGTTTGGTTGATGTAGCTCCAAGTGATAATGAGATCATCACAAAGCGCAGATTCAGCCAACACCTTATATGCACGGCACAATTTCACATGATATAAGACACCGGGGACCTCAATGGATCGGGCGCTTAGAGCAATTTTAACAATGAACTATATAGGCATCGTGGAGTAGGTAGGCAATAGGCATGCCAATAAGGGGATAGTTCCGATTCCCTGCAATCTCTATCCAACTCAAAAGTGACCTAAGCTGACACAACCATGTGTTCACGATCTTATTTATTATATCTTATTTACGATATTAATTATCTTTGGCGGGGCTGGCGAGTGGCGGTCTAGTTGGAAATGATTCAAGTCGAAACGGAATAAAAATGTGTTCAGCTGGATCAACTATTGCCTAACACGTTTTCCACAAGACGAGGAACAACAGAATAAGACGAACTCGGAATGCTATTATACAACGCTGCTGCGGAGTGTGGACGGGTGTGCCTCCCATTCAGCCCCTACACGCGCCGGCAGGTCACCGGCCGTCGCCTAGCAACAGCGGGTCAGCCTACCTCCCGGGGGCAAAGCCTTGACCGGCCGGTTGGCCCCGGGCGACGGACCTACAGAGGCACAGCCGGGTCGCTCTGCGTGCGGATAGTAGCCGCCTGTTGTAACGTTTTATTCCAGTGTCATCAGCGATTAAAATAACCCCACATTGAAAATTGCTGCGCGTTATAAAATGCGTCTGTTCCTTAGCAAAAACTAGCCAAGCTTTGCATGTAACGCGTAGGACCTAACATTTTATGGCAATAGGTATCAGTATGCTTGTTTTTTTTTTAGTTCATACTCTATGAAATGGGATGGCCTCCTTCCCATGTCAGTACAATCGGCCGGTGTTTGAGCATCACTTAAAACGAGAATAAGCTCTGTAGCAGCCGATTCAGCTGTCACTCTTTCTGTCAGTGAAATGATCTGTCAATAGTTTCCCTACGTCACACGAGCAGTGCACCGTGCACAAACCATCGACCAGCCACCAACGCATGAGCTAACAAACCGTGCTGGTTTAACGTAGAAACGATGCCCATTTTGTCACTGACCAACATTCATTTAATTACGAGCGAGCGAGCGCAGCGAGCGAAGCGAGTCTTTTCAATATAAGGGAAAAATCTCAGTATGAGCGGCCCGGCCCGGCCCGGCCCGGCCCGGCCCGGCCCGGCCCGGCCCGGCCTGTAACGCTTTTGAGAGGCTTATATCTCAGCAACCGCTGGACCGATTGGCCTGCGGTCTTTTTTGCTGGGTAGCCCCATCCCTTCTACCCCGTAATTGACTACTTTTGATACATCTCAGCGACCGTCGTGGCACGTGCCACGTGAAAAGTCAAGGGTGTTCAAGCTGTTTTGCAAAAGTGGTGATTTTGAGAGGCTCATATCTCAGCAGCCGCTTGGGCGATTGACTTGCGGTAATTTTTGTAGGGTAGCAGCATCCCTTCTTCCAAAAATAGGATACTCTCGATGCATGTGGGTCACCCCCAGTGCACGTGCAAAATACAACAATAAGAGGTGTCAAATTTGTTCCCATTTTAATAACTCGGTAATTACTGGGGCGATTTCGCTGAAACTTGGCATACAGGTAGGCACCCTCCAGGCAATGCATTCCCATGTGTTGCGGTTAAGGTGCTACTGCACGTGCGCACGTGCAGGGGGCGCTTCCAGATCTCGAGAACGGCTGGGCCGATTGCGCTCAAATTTGGTACACGGTTGGGGACCAGTTAGTAGGGTGTCGTGCAAAAGTCAGTTTGGACCCCGTTTGCACGTGCGCACGTGCAGAATGCCGTCTCCAGATCTCAGGAACGGCTGGGCCGATTGCGTTCAAATTTGGTACACCGCTAGCAACCGGTTAGAAGGGTGCTTTGCACAAGCCCGTTGGAAGTACCCTCTCGCCCTTCCGCACGTGCAGGGCTCACTATCTCGCTCGCTCGTTCTTCGCCCAAAAGGCGTTTTACTGGTATCATCTTTATATATATTTTTGTCATCACCCGCTTTTAGGCATGCTTTAACATTCCTCAGAAGTCAGAACACCCATCAAGAGCATGCCAAACACCGATAGGCTGGGCCATCTAGGTACAATGAAGAGCAGCGCAGTGCAGTGTCCCCTAAATGCCGCCGGCGCTGAAGTAGCTCTCCCGTCGAGAGGATGTCGGACACGTAAAACGGCAGCCACGTGTCGAGAGCGACGATCCGTCCGAGCACCGGCCGACGACCGGCGGTGTTCATGACAGGATTAGAAGAGGACGTTGAAACCATGCAGGAGCGGTCAGGCAAAGCAGCTTAGCTCAAAGCCGTGAAGCAGGTAGGCCGTAGGTGATATGCGTTCAGCTTTCTGTCAGTTGTCGCTTTTTGCTGCACAGTTGCTTTCACGCCAAGCACTATAAATCGTAAGTTCATTAACCCGCGCCCCACTGGGGGGGCTATTTATAGCCCCCTCTCCCGTTTTTCTGCAATCACTTTCAAACCGCTTGACGTATCAACGCCAAACTTTCAGTACCTTCGGCTGCATCAATTTGAAACCTTGTGTCAAAATTTGAACTTCGTACCTAACATAGGTCGGCCGGAAATGACGTCAGAGTGACGTCATGTTCGGCCGATTTCGACGCAAAACATTGAACCACGGCAATCGCTCCCAAGAGCTCAGTTTTTTAAGCTAGATCCAATTTCTTTGCATGAGAGGACTTAGAATAGACTGCGCTATCAAACTGCTATCTCGGATTTTCGAAATTTTGAAAATTTTAAAAATTTTATATAATAAAATTCAAAATTTATATTTTTACATTTTTTCTTTTTTTTTGACTTTTCGATAAAACCGGAATATATGTGATAGAACGCATTATTATGACTAACTCTAGCAAGTTTTAGCTAAATATCTTCAAAAATGGCCAAGTTATACGCACTATTGAAAAAAAATTAACAATTATTAATTTTTCAAATCAATTTTTCAGCACGAATTTGACATCGTACGCCAATATAAATAGCACCATCGTGTTCCTGAGCTCAAACTGCATCCAAAAGACACCTTTTTTGTTGAAAAATTTTAACTTCAAAATTTGACCTTTTTTGACCTGAAAGTGACCTGACCTAAGCTAAATTTGACTCAAAATGACCTCGAATGACACAGCCGACATCAAATTCGAAATTTTTGGCCTAAATGGACCATAAAACATGTGTCACGTGACCGACGGATGATATAATATTTTCGTGACCTGTGATGACCTGACCTTGACCTGAAAATCAAAGTACAAGTTTGGTACCCTCAGAGTATCTAGAGCATCTGTTCACGAGTGTGTGAACCAAAAATGAGCCTGATCTGACTTGTAAGACGGCGGCCAGAGCCCAAAACGTGAAGAAGCCAAAATGCTAATAATTTTTACTTTGACCTGACCTGTGACGTCATCGGTGACCTCGAGGTCAATGAAATTAGGTTTCGCACGACAGTTTTTCCGGGGCTATCACACGCCGTTTGAATTTTGACGATCGGCCCAGTAGTTTCGGAGTTAAGAGGGGGGGGCTATGAATAGCCCCCCCCCCCCCCAGTAGGGCGTGTTATACACAGACCCCAGTGGGGCGCGGGTTAAGCTTCTTGATAAGTAGGCAATAGCCTACAAGCCTATGCTAGAACAAAGGAATGTGCAATGTGCATTTGCTATGTTGTGCATTGAGTATACGTAAGCCATGTGCATTTTAAATATTATGCAATGCACTTAGCATCAATGTCGCTAGAAATCCATTCCAAACACTGTCATAAAGATATATATTGAGTAGGCTTTTTCAACACCCGAATATGTCGATATTCGGGTGTTGAAAAAGTCTCTGACGAAACGCGTCCACCCATGTGCTGTATGTTTTTCCTACTCAATATATATCTATTTGTCTATACATCACTCAACTGTCATAAAGATCTCATGAGGTTGTAACCATTCAAATGTTCACGTGACTTTCACATTCTTAGCTTCTAAAATTAGATCTGAAACCATCCACCACGGACCCTACGTGTCTGCTCCACGACCCCCGCTGCGCTGTGGACGCCATCGGGCTGTGTCTGCCCCGGGGCTCAGTTGAGCCCGGCCGGCCGGCTCGTCAGTCGGAGCCGGGTCGATCGGGCCGCTCCATCCCATGGAACCATCACGGGCGCACGCTATCGACGTGCAACGGGATACGGAAACGGAGCACAGAGACCGGGCTCAGGCGGGGTGGAGACGGAGCACAGAGACGTGGCTCGGGCGGGGTGGAGACGAGTGAGGGACGGAACGGAGACGGGACGATGGCGGGACCGGGACAAGACACGGGACCGAGACGGGACGGAGGCGAGAGAGTGAGAGAGAGAGAGAGAGAGAGAGAGAGAGAGAGAGAGAGAGAGAGAGAGAGAGAGAGAGAGAAACAGAGAGATTAAAAAGAGAGCTTTAGCGTTTATGAACGGAATCGGATATGGACATCTTCTAGTATGCGCGAAGAGAACACATTTCATCACATAAAATACGCGAAACTCATTCAACCTAGTGCAAGCATTGAACTAGGACGTGCTTTTAAAACATAAAGGAAATGCAATAAAAACAAAGTCAGTCGCCAAATGGGAAATAAATATGGATGGCAGACGTTGGCAAATGGGCGAGTACTTCAGGAAAACGGCAAATGAACTGCCAATCTGCCATTGAAAGTTACAACTCAGTTTCAAGGCCTTGTAGTTCAAGGGTACGGTGATGGATGAAGATGCATTCGTGCCATTTGTTCCTGCGGGGGGGGGGGGGGGGCTTCGCCCTTCACTAGCGCCGTGAGATGTGACTGTCGCCGCCGGCAGGGCCGCAAGCCATGTCCAATTAGCCCGTGTCGATCCACTGTGCGGTGCCCATCGATTTAGATCCGATGTCCAATACCGCGGCGCACCAACACGGAATCAACGACCCCGGCGACCCCAGCAACGGACGGCGACAGAAGGTGGCGACTTCATCATTGCGAGAGCCTCTGTCCACTGTTCACACTATGACTCCTGATCCCCTGATTTACAAACGAGTTCTCTAAGGCAGACGCCACTGGACTGATGGAAAGACCTCCGGGAAATGTGCGCGACAGTGTCTGACATCCGATCTGATTTAGAGCAGGCGCGCTGTCACACAAGGAAACGAGAATCCATGATCAAAACATTTATTGGTGTCTGCTCTCGTTAAATGAGACCATGAATCACAATGCCATATTAGTTCCTGACCTATGAACTGGCCAATAAAATCGACATTCTCCCTTTTCACGACTGAAGACAAGCTGGTGGGAGGTCGCCGTAAAATACGGCTGCAGCTGTGCTCAAAAGCTTCGCCACATCCAATTGATACCGGCCTGAGCTGACAAATGGCCCACCAAACCCTTTCTGCAAATGCTGCTGGATATTTCCAGGAGCATAAACCAGCTGGAGACCAGTTGACGTGTCTGCGCGGCGCCCATCGGGGCACTCTGTTTGACCTTCGGATCCACAGTGGTTTTTAGACAGAAATAAGCGAACACTGCTCCCAGATTTGGGCTTCCCACCCGCTTCCCAGGCTATCATGCAGTTTTCGGTGGACAGCTGACTCTCTTGCATTCCCTAGAAACCTCGCACACTGACACCCTTCTGACCTACTATGTATTTCAGACCCCATGAGACCCTGTTTTTCGGCGATAATTTCTTCAGTTTTTGTCTAATTGGCTTGAAATTTTGACATTAGACATTTCAGCTCAAGCGCCAATTTTCATCAATATGGTCTCTTAACAAAATGTCAATATTTAGATCACTTGTCATAGGCTCGTAATGCTAATTAGATTTTGCACCCGGATAGAGGCTCGTTCGCTACCGCAGCGGATTGGATGGGAGCGCTGGCCAATCACGTTGCGCCGGGCCCAACCAAACTCCGCCCACTGGCCGTGACCGCGCTGGGTCTATGCAGGCTCAGTCGGCGGCAGCACCGCGGAGAGGTCGCACGGGGCCGCGCACTGGAAACATGCATGGAATCGACAGGAAGTGTCTGAGCGAAAGCCTGCTCTTCATTTGGGGGAGCTGGTAACCGCTTTTCTCTTTTTTTGAATATCAACACCGATCCAGCTCAGAATATGAAGAATAATCATAATGAGGATATTAACCTCCCCAGAACCAACCTTAAATAGAGAGCTGAGTTATGCACTATCTGAATATCTGAATGAATGTACATTCTGGCGCCTATCTCATGGTCAGGTCGTGCCACTATTCTGTCACCTATGACGTCATGCGAAGCCTCTGCACTACTCGAAAATATCGATATTGGTTGGCTGCGTCAATCGCTGTTTCTGAAGACGCTGTTATACCTATATGCAGAAAACAACAGAGTAGGACGATGAGTCGCGAGCACTTCCGATTGCCTAAGACATCGCTCCACGAGCTGTGTTCGTAATTCGGGAAGCGTTGAGAAAGGAGCGGAAATGTGGTGTGCGAATTATTGCGTATGGTAGAAAGGTGACATCAGCATAAGGGAAACAAGCGCATACGCTAGTAAAGAAATCGCGTCTTTCTTTCTGAAACTAAAGTAACTTTTCAAGCTCTCCAATAGTGAGGCAGTATGTTACTTACTTACAGGTATTTCAATTATTTGCAGTTCAACACGAAAGCCTGGGGTCAAGTCAGTCCGCCAGTACGGTGACCTCAATCTAGCCAATTATACGATGGGTTAGTTCTGAAGGTGTTCATGTTGCACCGCAATCGCATGAATCCATCTCAAGCATACGCATAAGCATAATATATTTCATATTGCAACCACACTTCTTAAATGCTACGGTGTAATTGTTTATCATGTCTTGCAAATTTGACGTAGGCTGACCGAAGTCTTGCATCAGTTCACAGTCAGTTGACATCAACGGCTTTTTTGATGACGTTCAATCAAGCAAAAATGCAGTCACTAGCCCTGTACTTAGAAGTAAAGTAGGTATATCTGTATTGATTGACATGGTGTAGGCTAATTTGCGATAAATGCAATAATGAAGGCTAGTGCGCTTATTACGAGCGCCAGTTTCTGCTGTATCGTTATTACTGCAACGTCAACCGCAAGGCAGCCACATCCAATGCGAGCCGCCCCGGTCTGGCATACGGCCTTGGGTCCGGCAGCTACTGCCCCGTCGGCTCCACGCATCCGACTGGCCGGCCAAGGTCACCGCTCCGTCCGCCGGGAGGGCGGAGCTTAATGGTCACGTGCCTGTGACGTCACGCCTACGTACGGATAGCCTCTACTCCACTGACGAATTTACGGAGCTGATTTTAACATTACGAGGCAACGACAGGTACTCTAACAATTGATATTTTGTTAAGAGACCATATTAGCGAAAATTGGCGCTTGAGCTGAAATGGGTTTTGCGAAAATTTGAAGTCAATTGGATAAATATTAAATAAATTATCGCCGAAAAACAGGGTCTCATGGGGTCTGAAATGCATTAGTAGTAGCACACTGCGCGGTGGCCGAACACCCTGAGCGACAGCCGGCTTGGCCACATCCCATCCCCATCACCAGCTGCGCAAAGTCAGAGTCCATCCTGTCGCGTCGTCCATCGTGCCACCGTGTCCCACGAGACTGCGCACTTCAAAATACCCGGCGCCGGGCTCTGGAGTACCCGAAATAGCTGACCAATCAATGACGAAGCGGAGAGAACGGGTGGCGAGCCGCGCTCCACGCGACGCTGTGTCGAGCCCCGGGGAACGCCGTGCCGACGGGGAAAGACGCGGCACGCAGACGGAGAGCGAACAAGGCATGACGGCTGACAGATGGCACAGGCCTTGATGAAAACGAAATGCTGGGATGTAGGTTCGTCCGAGCCGAAGGAAAGGTTTTCAGTCAGGTCGTGGAAGCTGAAAATAGCGACGACAAAGGTGCGTGGAATGTTGGTGGAATGAGAGGGGCGGAATGTGAGTTAACAAGTGACGGATGGAGTGAGAGCGTTTTATGGATGAGTGGAGGAGAGCCCTGAGTGCGAGGGAGGAGCATCGCGACGGGTGTAATGAGCGAAATGACTGACGCACCCTTTACCCGTCGCGGACTTGGCAGGTTGCTGCTGTAACGAAACGGTTGCAGCTGACATTGTAGATTTGTGCGAAAATCGGATGATGTGGCTGCACGGAACAAGGAGAGCCGATTATGTTCCCAGCTAAATTCAGTAAAATGTTCTTAAAATACGAAGCACGTAAAATGTTCCTTAAATACTAACCACTCGGCGTAGCTCTTCCTTGACGTCCCATTTCGCTGGTCATGGCAGAAATACTGCGCAAGATAAGAATTTCATTATTCAAAGTAAACGAATAAATGCAGCCTTTCATATTCAAGGAATCAGCCAAATTTCCAACAAATACATAGTAATGCGCATTGTGCAACATTAGTAGTTGGCGGTAAAAATCATGACTCCACCATCTTTCGATACATGGCAGTTCCATTTTCACTCTCCGTGCACGCGAGCTCGGCGGTATTTCGGTGGTGATCTCTGGTCTCCGGCTATCGGATCCTCCTGGCCATCTGAGCCAAGTGGTCATCAGTCGTCACCGGGCCTACCACCGTCCCAGGTGCGGTGCGGGCACCGATAATCGGATTGGAGGCCGCCACAGCAGCTGACATCGCGCCGGCGACGGCAACGACGCAGCGGTCGTCGATGTCGACGAAAACTCGGGAAAGGACGGATAGGTTCTGTGTTGGACGTCTGCCGATTGTCTCTTGATATCCGCTGAGATCTTATGAGTCTTAACGGGAGGTAATTTGGGATGAAATTGTCTGTCAAAATGGTGAAAAATGATACCTACTTTGGTCACGCATTGTCGGGGATCTATAATTGCATAATATCGACAGTTATTACATAATCGCTCCTCAATCTCTCGTATTGATGACATAAGCAGACGCCACTTAGACGTAAAGACATTGACATTATGAAGACATGACGTTCACGAGTCAAAGGAGGCTCATAAATGCTACTGCCCTACAAGCATTACAGCAAAACATGCATTGTTTACAGCCACATCAAAGAATGGGACCGAACTGATGTCGCAAATCATTCAATCCTAAAGAATGATGTCATGCTTGCTCAGCGATTCCGAAAAATAACAAAAAAGAAAAATGAACTTTATAGACTCCGACTTAGGAATGATGCCTATATGTATCTCAATAAAGACGTAAGCAGATAAAATTCAAGAACGACACTAATTTTACAAGAGTTTCCAGATAACATCCGCCTATTTTTTTTTGTCACGTAACAATGAGTTCACGTCACTGCATGACGCTCCCTAATTACCAGTTGACATTTCAGGCGTCTGGAGTTGGCATACCATGCATGCAGGGCGTGTCTGGAGTGGACACTGGACATTCTACGCGTGCTTGACGCGTGCGCCGTGCGGAGGATACCCCGGAGTTGCTAGCGTTGGCATAACAGGCGTGCAGTGAGCACTTCAGGAGTTGGCATGTGCATTTTGCACGCATGCAGTGGTGCGTGGTCTCGAGTTGCGCATACAGTTTCGGTACGTCTGAAGTTTAAAGGCTGCATGTGCACTGTGCAGTGAGCGCGTCTAGCGCTAGTAATACTCACGTTGCGATGACGACCGACGTATGATGTTCTCAAGGAAGGTGTTTTGCGGGGCGACGAGGCCCCTCCTGCCTCCCGGCATGGCCGGCGGTGGGGGCGTCGGCGGCGCGAGGGCTCAGGGGCGCCGCTGTAGGGCCGGGGGCGCTGCACGGCGCGCCGGAGGACACTCAGCAGCCGGGCCATGCAGAGAGGGCGCCGCCGCACGCCGGCATCCCCGTCTGCCGAGGAACGGTGGGACAAGTTAACATAGAGAAATAGAACAGCGGACTGGTCAGAGACATTGGTAAGCGACAGGTTACAACTCATTGAGTTGCTATGCACACGGGTTGTTGGGGGCCGAGAGAATATAACGACTGTCGACTTGCATGAGTTATTGCGACTGCAGTCCCATAGGAACTTATGGGTCGCAAGTTCCCGTGGCCCGTGGGAACCTACATATATATATATATATATATATATATATATATATAGTTCATGAGAGACGACAATATCGGTATTTACATATCAGCATTCTGTTTCCGGACAAATAAGTCTTCATTGTTTTAACAATTCAAAAGGGACACGAAAAGTCGATCAGCTAGCGACATGAGTTATCACATTCGTAGCAGCACAGACTAGCACACCCTGACCCCTAAGCAATAAAAGGTAAAAGGCAAAATACACATAGTTAGGTCTTAAAGGGACTATCCCACCTTTAACATGGGGTTTGAGTTGAGATAGCCAAGTTTGCGGCGAGGTTCAGAAACCACTATCTATCTAGGTTGCAGCCCCCGCGGCCTCTTGGTGTTGAAGAAATTCGTTCCCTTCATTTGAAAATGGGCCTTGCGCAAGGCCCTATCTTCAACATGGAGCGACCGTTAGTGTGACGTCACCTCGTTTAGTCATTCTGATTTAAATGGGTTTGTTCGTTGAAAAATCGCTTAAAACTTGGTCTGAACTTTGTTGTGGTGCCTACAGAGTAAAAAGAATCAGCTTTATGACAGTAATGTGGCCTGGGGAAGGAGGTAATTTTGGGCTGTGACGTCACATATTTGAAAGTTTGTGTTTGGAATATGGGAAGCCTAAGATGTTTAATGAAAAATAAATGCCAGAACCGTGTTCCTGGTCATCCAATCTATAAAGTCGGGCACAATTTAACTGGTTTTAACAACATTTTAGAAGGTGGGATAGTCCCTTTAACACGCGCACCGACGGGGGGCGGATATCCGCCCCCCCCCCCTGAGGTTTTTCGCAAATAGCGGGAAAACCGCGGCGCGTAGCGCCGCGAAATTTGGTACGACTATTCTCTCATCAATTTTAGACGTGTGCAAGTTTGAACCTCCTATCTTTTAAGGTCAGGTCACCAGGTCTCTTTGAATGACCCAACCTCAAGTCACTTTTTCGCAACTTTGTCACCGTGCCAGAGGTACGGTAGATGTCGAAGGCCTTTGAAAGTCGCAGGATGTTATAAGGTCATTAGTAGCTACAATTTGTATATCTCGGAATTTTGATATCGATGACCTAAGGTCAGGTCAATTTCTCGACCTCCCCATTATAAGTCAACGGGGGAAAAATCAACTCCCTGTTTTTACCACTAAAACGGGTCAGAATGGCCCCATAAACCATACATGACCTCATATACGATCAACCTTCACTACCTTGAGGTCTGTTTTGCTGTTGGGCAGCTGTAAGGTCATGTGACGTCATCAAAGGTCACCAGCGGTTTTTTTGACAATAACTCCGTACAGGAACAAGATACAGCCGCGCGGATGGTCTCATTGTGTTCAGCTCGTCAAGGCGCATCAAATGATATACATGATAACCTCGAGGTCACGTGACCTGAGGTCAACCTTTGACCTTGACCTTTCGAGGTCAACATATATATCATTCGATGCGGATTGACGAGAGGATCACGATGCTGCCCTTAGTTTGTTCCTATATTGACTAGTTCGAAAGTTATTCGAGAAAAACTCTCTCCATACCTAGCGCCGCCATTTTGACTTTTTTGACCCCTGTGACGTCATCTTTGACCTGACCTGAAAATGACCTTTGTAAAAATTGTAGACCTTGTCCGTGCGTATTCCTTGCCGTTTACCGCTTGTCGCTATCTTGCTTCGTTCTCGAGATCTCAGGGGGGGCGGTCATCCCCCCCCCCCCCGTCGGTACGAAGTTGGCGCAGTGTTATGTTAACCCGTCGGTGCGCGGGTTAACATAACGTGCCGTCACACCCGCATTCTAGGTGCTCTGCTCAGAAAACACTTGTAAACGGAGGCTGAATGCATACCGGGATGGCTTAGACCAGGCTTACAAGGACAGGGCTATTCTGATTACCAAAGTGGCTGACACTTTGGTAAGAATTCGGAAGAATCTTGGAAGGCCTTGGAACTATTCTCGTGGCGTCATTCCCACCGTAGAACTTTTCGCATAACTTCATTATACCTATATTTATCATTTCATTGGGGTAAGTGAAATTTTCCCATAAATATGTCTAAGTATTAGTATCCCCTAAATCCCAGCACGTATGGTGATTACTCAGATTACTTATTCGGAATCTCTTCACGGATTACATCTGGCTCGAGAAGCAATCACATCCACACTGTTCTGGGGAATCAATCCTACGCATTCGGCATTGGCTTAGCGTACTGCGAGCCCCTTGGTGCGCAGGTTTTCCCCCACGTGCCCGTTCCTTCCTTAGCTCTATGCCGTCTCGATGCGGCTGAAAGTGGCGCGGAGGCGGCACCGGCGCGCAATCAGTGCCGCTGTTTGGTGACGCCGTTGCCTGGCAACTGAGACGGGTGCTGCTTGGGTGGAGGTCGATGTGACGCTGAAATATGCATGTCCGTGTCAACCGGCCGGCGCGGCCCGGGCGCGATGGCACCGATAATGTCGACGGACGATGGAGGCCACACCTGCCCCCGACACAGTCACGGCAGGTGCCACCGCTCTCAGACATTGCCGGGGCAGAATAACCTCCAATACTGTCTCAGCAGGTATGATCTTGACACAGTTGCGTCAGGTATGATTTCCGACACAGTCGCGGCAGATGCGGCCGCTCTTCGACATTGTCAGGGCAAAATGACCTCCGTATTTTCCAGGCAGGAGTAAAGCGTGTCCTTTTCAGTTTTCGACACCGCAACGGCCCTGCAACGCAACGGCAGGTATGACCTCCCCGACGTTGTCAGAGCAGGTTCGCCCTGTCTCACAGTCATTCACGGCAGGTATGACTTCTCCGACACCGTCACGGCAGTTATAAACTTTCAGACCCCTCAGACATAGCAGGAACCTTTGGTTTTTGCCTTTTGATACCGTCAGGGACTCAGGTCAGGTGCGGTCTCTCCGACACTGCCATTGTAGAATGACCTCCGACAATGACACTTCAAGTTCGGACTCTGATACTCCGACACAGCAGGTTTGATCTTTGACAATCTCTCTGACAAGATATGATTCTGACACCATCACGGCAGGTATGATCTCTGACATTCCGACACGGCAGGCATGACTTTTGACACCATAACATATGGGATGACTTCTCTGACACCGACATAGCAGCTGTTTCCTCTTCGACACCTTCTCGTTAACCTTCGCCCCAGTAGGGGGGGGGGGGCATATGGTACCACCCTGTCGCGTTTTTTGCGTGTGAATAAAAAACCGCAGCGTGTAGCGCCGCGCCGCTTGGGGTAGCTTTTGGTACATCAATTTTGGACAATGTGTGAAATTTTTGACCCCAGGTCATGTCAGGTCAGGTCATCAGGTCAAGTTAACTGACCAAGCCTAAAAAAGTTTGTAATCATGCCCAGCCTGCAGTGTTTGTCAGAAAGGTTTTAAACTTGGTGGATTGCATGCTGTTATGGACGCCTACAATTTGTATATCTCGGATTTTTTATATCCGTGACCTAAGGTCAGGTCAATGGCGTGACCTTTCCATTACAAGTCAATGGAGAAAAATGAAAATGCCTCTAGATCCGTGTGTACGCATAGGAACAGTCCAAATATTTCAGAATCACAATGATTTGGATCACCTGTGATGACCAAGGTGTCATTTTTGCTGATAGTCTCTAGAAAGGTCATCCGAGGTCATTTGAGGCTACAAACAGATTTTTGCCAATAACTCGCGATTGGAAAGAGATAGAACGCTGGATGGTCTCATTGTGTTTGTCTTGTTGAGACGCATCGACTGATATGCAACATGACCTTTTCCGGTCAGGTCATGACCTTGACCTGAGGTCAAATTTTCAAGCTGACCTTTCAAGGTCAAATTATAGTTCATTCGACGCGTTTCGGCGAGAGGAACACGATTCTGGCAATAGAAATGTCGTGGCTTTTTGCAGTAGAAAGTTATTGTCGAAAAACACTTTTCGTAAAAACAGCTATTTTTGGAGTTTTTGCCCTCTGGAGGCTAAACCGTTGACCTGAGGTCAATTTTGATGTGACCTTATCAAAAGAAGAGTTCAAAAGCTATCGATTGCTTTTCCATGCGTTTTTCTAGCCACCATAGTTCCTGAGATAACGGCATGTTTTCTGAAAAATATGATGACAATTGGCAAATTTTGACCTTTGATGACCTCTGGTGACCCCAACATTGCTCTAAGATGAAAAATGACAGAAATACTTTCAAACGTACGCATTGAGAGCTATCGACTGCTTTTTACCGCGTCTTTCTAGCCCTCTTAGTTTTTTAGATAGAAGTGGGTGGTAACATATGCCCCCCCCCCCCCCACTAGGGCGAAGTTGGCTGAGACCGCCACTGGGGCGCGGGTTAAGTACAGCGTCGACACCGTCACATAAAAAGTACGCCTCTGTGACCATATCACGTTCTCCACCATCGTCACAGCAGAGGTTATTTGTAGCATCTGTAACACCGACACGGCTCTAGGTTGACCTCACACACCGTCACAAGAGGTATGCCCTCTCTGGCCTCACGGAAAGTAGACACCGCCTGTATGAAGCCGTCACGTTACGGCAATAAGAACATCAACAGCCAACAGATACTGGTCTCGGTACGTGCGTCACCCTTCCCTGGAAATCCAAATCGGTTCGTCGAAGCATCATGACTCATTTATAGCAACCGTCATGCAGACTTCCGTACAATCGGTGCGGGACAAACACAGCTGACTTTGATTTTCTACATAATTTAGTAAAGACAAGATAGGATTTGAAAATTGAAAACCAATGTTATCAAACTATAGAATGCAATTACAGACGGCAATCTCAAACCTAGACCTTCCTCGGCTGAAGTGAA